ATCATGGAGGGGTCTGAAATTCACATTGTAGGTGCATTCCCACTCTGAGAGACAGAATTTAAAAAAAAATTCAGGAAATCACATTGTATGATTTTTAAAGAATTTATTTGTCTTGCACTGCTGAACATAAGTATTTGAACACCTAAGAAACAGCAAGAATTCTGGCTCTCAAAGACTCGTTACTGTGCCTTTAAAAAGTCCACCTCTACTCCACTCATTAATCTAACTTAGTAGCACCTGTCTGAGCTCTTTAAAGACACCTGTCCACCCCACAGTCAGTCAGACGCCAACTACTACCATGGGCAAGACCAAAGAGCTGTCAAAGACACCAGAGACAAAATTGTGGAACTACACAAGGCTGGAAAGGGCTACAGGGCAATTGCCAAGCAGCTTGGTGAAAATAGATCAACTGTTGGAGCAATTGTTAGAAAATGGAAGAGGCTAAAGATGACTGTCAGTCTCCCTCGGACTGGGGCTCCATGCAAGATCTCACCTCGTGGGGTATCACTGATGATAAGAAAGGTGAGGAATCAGCCCAGAACTACAAGGGAGGAGCTGGTCAATGACAAGAAGAGAGCTGGGACCACAGTTTCAAAGGCCACTGTTGGTAGAACACTACACCGTCATGGCTTCAAATCATGCATTGCACAGAAGGTTCCACTGCTCAAGTTATCACATGTCCAGGCCCATCTGAAGTTTGCCAATGACCATCTGGATGATCCAGAGGAGGCATGGGAGAAAGTCATGTGGTCAGATGAGACCAAAGTAGAACTTTTTGGTCTAAACTTCACTTATCGTGTTTAGAGGATAAAGAAGGATGAGTTGCATCCCAAGAACACCATCCCTACTGTGAAGCATGGGGGTGGTAACATCATGCTTTGGGGGTGCTTTTCTGTGAAGGGGACAGAATGACTGCACTGTATTAAGGAGAGGATGAATGGGGCCATTTATTGTGAGATTTTGAGCAACAACCTCCTTCCCTCAGTCAGAGCATTGAAGATGGGTCGTGGCTGGGTTTCCAACATGACAACGACCCGAAGCACACAGCCAGGATAACCAAGGAGTGGCTCTGTAAGAAGCATATCAAGGTTCTGGAGTGGCCTAGCCAGTCTCCAGACCTAAATCCCAATAGAACATCTTTGGAGGGAGCTGAAACTCCGTATTGCTCAGCGACAGCCCCGATACCTGACAGATCTAGAGGAGATCTGTGTGGAGGAGTCGGCCAAAATCCCTGTTGCAGTTTGTGCAAACCTGGTCAAGAACTACAGGAAACGTTTGACCTCTGGAATTGCAAACAAAGGCTTCTGTACCAAATATTAACACTGATTTTCTCAGGTGTTCAAATACTTATGTTCAGCAGTGCAAGACAAATAAATTCTTTAAAAATCATATAATGTGATTTCCTGATTTGTTTTTTTATTTCTGAGTGGGAATGCACCTACAATGTGAATTTCAGACCCCTCCATGATTTCTAAGTGGGAAACTTGCAAAATAGCAGGGTGTTCAAACACTTCTGTTCCTCACTGTGTGTATATATATATATATATTTTTTTATATATATATCTATATAATTATTATTATTCAGGATTTATATAGCACCAACAGTTTGCTCAGCGCTTTACAATATAATGGGAGACGATACAGCAACAATACAGTTCAATACAAGAGGGTTAGGAGGGCCCTGCTCATATATATATATATATATATATATATTCTAATATTTAATGACTGAATGAATGTTTTGAAAAACAGACTTGAAAAAGGGTGAGGTTGCCCAGAACTGTTGTTCCCTTATTGTTCATGTGTGCTAAGCCAATGCGTAGCAATTAAAATCCAAGAGAAAACTTCTTTGCAAGATTCCTTATCTTATTTACACATATATATATATTTTACTGTATACAGCAGTGGTCTCCAAACTGTGGCCCGGGGACCAGATGTGGCCCTTTACTTGCCTTTATCTGGCCCTTAAGGCATTATTCCTGCCACTGACACCAACAATGGAGTATAATTCCTGCTAATGACACCAACAACGGGGTACTATTCCTCCCACTGAAACCAATAATGGGAAATAATTGTCTCCACTGTCAATAACAATCAGGCACTATTCCTCCCACTGACACCAACAACGAGGCAGTATTTCTTCCCCTAATACCATAGATGGGTCATTGTTTACTACCACTGGGCACAGCGTGGCCCCCCTAAAGTCTGAATGACAGTAAACTGCCCCTTTGTTAAGAAAGTTTGGAGACCCCTGCTATATAGTATATGTCTAGAATCGTTAGAATAAACACGAGTACAACCAAGATTTCAATTAACAATTTTTTATTAACAAATACCACAAATAATTTTATTTACAGCCTTCAGTATATGACTTGTAAGGACAGCAATACTGAATTAGAAACATACCTTATAGTACAGTCATATGAAAGGTTGATGTGGTTATAAGTGCAATCACATACAGCAATGACACCATTTGGGGCAGTCTTCGGATTTCAAGTTTTATTTTAATTTTACTTGTTCTTTGTGTCTTTATTAGGGTGGATTGGCTACTGGCCATGTACAGTAACTGCCTTGCTTAAAAAAAAGCCAGGGAAATGAATGTTCATTTGCAGAGTGCAAAAAATCAAAGCAAAAAAATCAGAATTCCCCTCTTAGGTGTTCTGACTGTGATAAACCAACATCTGATTTGGCCGTTCTGGATTGGTCATTCTTGGCAAATTATCATTTTTCTTATTAAACAGCCAGTTTTGGTTTCATTGCACAAGTGTGTAATGGGCACACAAAACTTAATAAGTCCATATGGTTAAATCCAATAAGATAACCGTGCATGTCCTCGGAGTTGGTAAAATCAGTCTAATTGACCAATCAAAATGTTACAAAATAATTCTTACTGTTTCACAGAACCATTAAATGATATTCCTTTTAGTGTATTTAATGATGAGGTGCTGTTAGTCCAAATTACCAAGAAGAAAACTGACCCAAACTGGCTCAGTGCTGTAGTTCCTGAGATAAAAGGCGCCATTTACCAAAGTTTCTGAAACAAGGAATGTCTGTGTTGCCCATAAAAACCACATTTGTGTATGTTTTACAAACCTCACTGAAAGCACAGGGACAATGTGATTGGCTGTCATGGGGAATGGAGGTCTTCTTTCAGACACTTTGATAAATTAAAGCTGAACTCAGGGTAAAGTCAAAAGTTACCCTTGAAGTGGGTTTCCCCCACACTGCCAGGATCAAATGCTTGTTCTTTTCTAAGGCAAAAAACACAAGTGGGGATGGCAAGAGCCCACTCACAACCCCGAGTGTTGGAAAGAACAGGAGAGCACCCAATGCCAGGGGAGCAGGTATGTAAAACTGCCATTTATGTCCCCCTGGGCAAATAAAGACATTTAACTTGCAGTGTGGCGGAGCCCCGTTGTAAAAGAATTTTTTTTTTGTTACCCAGAGGTCATCTTTGAGTTTGAAAGTAATCCTGTATAGAGTAAATATAAAGCCTGCCATTGCTGACCTCTCTGTCTAAAATTGATGGCTGCCTGGCTCTCATGCTGATCCAACGCCTTTGATACATTCCCAAAGACTGATGTGGAATAAGTATTCAGGGCAGATATTTCAATGCTGCCCTCCTAATTTGGACCTTTGCTTGGGAAACCAACACCGGCCAGGGAAGCAGTATTCTTAGAAGCAGATGGAAGCAGTGGCACCTTGTATTTTTCTCTTAATACTGGTCTCCTGTAAGTGGTACTTTGTAATGTAATGAAATATGATGGAACAGCTATCACAACTGGTAGACCCTCATTTGTCTTAGAACTACATCTACCATAATGCTTTTTAGTCCATAAGCAGCTGTAAGCCTATAAAACTGCACACAGCTCCTAAAGGATGCATAGCTATTAACGTCAGCATCTGAATACATCTACTTACTGATCCCCACTCCTGTATTTCAATCCAAAACATTTTTTATTCATTTTATACAATGCTGTACATAGGCCAGGTGTTAAACCAGCCTTATCTGAAAGGTCTCAACTAGCAACATCTAGCACAATTCCACTACCCCACTGTTCAATGTCTATAATTGGTTATCTTGCTACATCATTTTCTTATTAGCTTTTTCCTACAAAGACATTCAAAACTTCAGAATAAATAGAGGACCAGACAATAACATTTGTGTTTGTACATATAGACAGTTTTTGTGCACATCACGTGAACATCACAAGGGCGCTAGGATTTGTTCAAAATGGTCAATGCTTAAAACTGAACTCCAGGCAGATATAAACGTCACAGATTATTGCAGCTCTGTATTCACTAATATATCATTCAATGTATCTTTAAATGCAAGCAGTGTAAGTACAACCTCTTGCAATCCGGGAGTCCAACTTAAAAAAAATAAAATAAAAGTACAGTGACTAATGGATTCAATTGTACCCATCGCCAGCAGACAAAACAAAGTGGCCATCTCAGGTACATAATCCGTCTTTTTTCACCTTACAGCCTTTGATTTTATTATTGCTTTTATATCAAAAAAGCACCCAGACATAGTGGAAGATTAATAAGCTGTAGACTCAACTGGCCTACTCAGTAAGGCAATGCAAAGAGCAATGATGATGTGCAAGTTGCATTAAGCTATAGCAACCAGATTTAGGTTTACTGCAGTCAGACTGGTAAAGAGATGATTTCCAATAATTTATTGATTATAATCAACAATGCTCTTTGAACTACTTTGATAGTATCAGAATGGCTTCCTTTTTAATGTAGAGGATGGTTAGGATTTAAATACAGATGACTGTCATAGACAGAGAATTTGGCACAGTGATAGGGAAATGTTACAAGTTTATTATGAACCAATCAACAGTCCATAGGGCCTGCCTAAAATCAAGGTATGGAAAAAAAAGAAAAAAGTATAAATAAGGCATTTCAATTTGACAGTCAATAAAAATCCTTGAATATGGAATATGTACACGAAGAACAGTCTGTGCTTAGAAGTCCTTGGCCAACAGGCACTGTTAACTCGAGTGGAAACTGGAGGATTCCGACTCGGTGGAGACGGAGGAAAGTCCAGCACGCTTTTTTGACAAGATTTTCAGGCTTGAACCTCTGCTGACAGAGGTTAGAGCATTCTGAGCTGAAGTCTTGAATTTAGCCCCAAGGAACGCATACAAGATTGGGTTGAGGCAACAGTGGAAAAAGGCCAGGGCTTCTGTGATAGAAATCCACTTGTGGATGGTATTATCCATTTGGCAATCAAGTCTTATGATTCCAAGCAAACCAAAAGTGTCTATGGTTAGGCAGATGTAGTATGGGAGCCAACAGGCAAAGAAAGCCACGATGAGAATGACAGTGGTCTTCAAGGCCTTGCGTTTTTGGTGGCCTTTTGAGTGTGACAGTTTTGAAATGATGACACAGTAGCATATGAGGATGATAAGTCCAGGCAAGAGAAGACCAACCATGATGTGGAGGAAACGGAATCCAATTGTCCAGTTCTGTCGGTTCTCTAGTGGGTAAATACGATCACACACGTAGTACCCCTCTATGTCTGTGACGCTGGCAAACACTAGGTCAGGCACCGTCAACAGGATAGCTGGTAGCCAAACTCCAGCATACACAATCTTCTCAGCCAGCATTTTTCTGGAACCTTGGCTGTTTGTGGCATGAACAATTGCCAAGTACCGATCCAGGCTGATGAAAGCCAAGATCAAGACACTGCTGTAGAGATTGACGGTGTAGATGACATGGACAGCTTTGCACAAGAAATCCTTGAAGTACCAACCAATGGCGGCATCCACAGACCAGAATGGAAGGGTGAACACAAAGAGCAAGTCAGCCACTGACAGGTGCAGCCTGTACTTGTCAGTCATAGTTCTGGACTTTTTTCTGATAACCCATAACCAACACCACCAATCCATTGCCAATAATTCCCAGAAGGAAGATGAAAGAGTAGACAGTTGGCAAAAAGATTCGGTTGAAGTCCTTGTTCTCTTCATTGGTACAAAGACCTTGAAACTCAAAGTAATCATCAGAACCGTTGATATCGGTGGAGTTTTCTTCCATTATACTTATATCGATCGCCCCAGAAAACTGCAAAGAAATACAAAAATGACATTGTTAGTTTCATTTTGAAGTTCAGCCATTAAAATACAATAAGCACTACCAATCTACTTTATAACTAGGATTGATTTATTAGTATTTGGATCTAATATGAGAGCATAGAGGTGACTCTTGCACCAGTATACATCTTGGTTTTCCAAAAAATTACCTGTATAGAGTTACATACCATCTGGAATAGGGCTGTGCCCAGTGGTGACTACTGAACGTCAACACCCTCAATATAACCTATGTCATTGTTAAGTGGAGAATAGCTGTGTGGTATAAAGAAGCAAAAGGCACACAACACAAGCTACCAGTTGACACATTTTGTCTCTAAAAACCTAAATGCATACAAGTCACTATTTAACCTTCAGCTGCCAGATGATGACTGATAGACAACTTGGCGCACACACACTCCACTGTGGACCAAGTGATGACAACTTCAATGGATGAAGTTATGCAACGCCAGGCAAACAGTGCACTAAAAACACACAAAAGACCGCACAAGCAGCAGAAGGAATATGAATACTGGGTTTTTATTCCAGTAAAGGATGGTTGCTTTTTGCCAAAGGATTAAGCCAGTATGGAAAATTTGAGAGATGGCATCCATCATGATTTGGTGGCCCTATCCTAATACAGGACAGCTATACCAGTGACTGTTCCCTCTTCAGAACATCACAATGAACTCAGAAAAATGACCAATAGCAGCGGCCATGTAATGCAGTTAAACAGCCCTCAGTCCCAGACACCAGGGCTAAAAACTAAAAAAATCTTACCCTTTTCCCAGCAGCTCTCCCATTTGCATTAACCCTAACTTAGCAACAGGAGGATGCATTAGCTAATTTTTTATTTTTCTTTTTTAAATATATTAGCATTTTATTTTCAAAACTTGATTTATATTTACAAAACAAAGGAGGCCATAAAAGACTCTGCAGCTCCAAAATAAATTCTATTGTACATATTTCTGTAACAGGTGCAATAATGGCATGGCTCATAATAGGAATTGGCGCCCTCTAGCTGCCATTGCCAGATTCAGCAGATTTGCACAATTCTCTCCATTGTGTTACACACCAATAATTCCTGTAAAGTTCTAGATAGTTTAGTGAAATCTGTTTCCTTTTTCTAACGGCTTTTGGACAGGAACAAAAAAAAAAAAGGTCAAACAGGATCTTGTATTTGGTGCCAATTCTACTCTGAGGAATAAGAACTTTGCTTTGAAGAGGGTAGACAATTTAGGCTACTTTCACTGATTCACCGCAAAAAACGCAAAGGTGGTTTTACTGCACCTTTGCAGCGCTTTTACAGGACACGTGACTTAAAAACTGCTCCAAAAACGTTTCATAGAGGAGTTTCTGAGGCGCTTTTCAGGCGTTTTCCATTGGTTTCAATGGGAAGAGGCATTTCTGGGGCTTTTGTTTAACTCACCAAACATGCCCCAAAGATGCTGCAAGCAGGAGTTTTTACACTGCACTGCAAGTGCACGGTTAGTAACGCCTGTGTGAAAACATACATAGATATACATTCACATATATAGGGAAGCATTTTTCTTGTGCTTTACAGGTGCTTTTTTTACTGCAAAAATGCTTCAAAAACTCCTCTGTGTGAAAGCAGCCTTAAAAAGATGAAAAAAAAACTGCTTGAGGGGGTCCACTACAAACAGGCAAAACTAGTATTATGCATGCTGTATATAGTTAGCCCACATTAAAATGGAAGACTGCAGAAAATGTGCTGAAAAGGTTGATGCTGAACTACTAATGTCAGCATGCCCTGTCTTGTTCCACAAAAGCTGGACATCAACAAGCTGCCTATGTTATATTGTACTGTAATGAACATTTCCTAGAGGTGCAAGTTGAAAAATTAGGTTCTTTCCAATATGCAAATTCTATTTTTGTCTAAACTTTTTTTTCCTACAACTCGGAAGTCATTTTTCACTTTCCGAAAAATTCAAACCTGACATACTGACATTTGATTGGTTGTTATGAGTGATAGATCTTCAGCATTGCTCATTGCATTGTGTGATCTGACCATTGTATCCTTAAAATACCTCTCTTGCTGGGCACAATGCATCTAGCCTCTCCTTCCCCAATAGCAGGCTTACAATACATTCAATTTTATTAGCATTTTGTGTGGCTGTGTTGCCTTTTAGCACAAAGATAACTGTGCAAATCATACTCCTTTAGATTGCAAGCTTCTTTACCCAGGATCTTCATTGTTAACCTTCTGTCATTATGTCCCCTGTCTATCCTCACTAGGAGCATCCCTGATTCTGCTGCATCCCTGATTCTCCCTGATTCTGCTGCTATATGACTGTAAATTGCATACAATAGCAATATTCCAGCTGGAAGGGTGCCCAGCTAGGAAACATGCAGGAGTAATAGCAGAGCAATTATTGACCCTTAGGTCATGAATTGTGCCAAAGTATCTTCTGTACCTGCCTTACACACAAAGAAAGAGCCATTGTCTACCCAACAGATACCCCTACAGGATGAATTGCTAGCCCACCAACTGCAACCAGCAGGGATGCCCTTATTTTTCCAGGCACATTGACACTATTCAGCTATTGTGGAACTACAAGGTTCATCATTCATTCCCACAGCTGTCAGGGCATGATGAGACTTGTAGTTCAACAGTAGCTGGATGTCAATTGGTTATAGGGCTCTGCAGACATCATCCACACCAACAACATTGCTACAAAAAACAACCCAAGCTACTTAACTGCAAGTCCCATCCATAAAACAACCTTTGACAAGTAATTCAACTCTTTAAATGACACTTTGGGGGTTATTTACTAAAACTGGTGGTGTAGCTGTGCATGGTAGCCAATCAGCTTCTAACTTCAGCTGGGTCACTTAAGCCAGGGGTCTCCAAACTTTCTAAGCAAAGGGCCAGTTTACTGTCCTTTAGACTTTAGGGGGGCTAAACTGTGGCAATTGTAAGTAGAAAATGTTCTGGCATCAGTGGGAGTAAACAATGCTCCATCATTGGTGTCAGTGAGAGAGGAATTGTGCCCCATCATTGGTGTCACTGGGGTGGGAAGAATCATGCTCCATCTCTGGTGTCACTGGGAGTAATCGTGCCCCATCATTAATGTCATTCGGAGGAATTGTGCCTCTTCGTTGGTGTCAGTGTGTGTGTGGGGGGGGATTGGGGAATTATGCCCCATTGTTGGTTTCAGAGGATGATATATTGCCCCAAGGGCCAGGTAAAAGCAAGCAAAGGGCTGCATCTGGCCCCTGGGCCACAGTTTGGAGACCAATGACTTAAGCTTTTGAACCTGGAAGCTGAATTGTTACTAAGCAAAGCTGCACCAGATTTTGCACCATGCAGTTTTAGTAAGTAACCCCCGTTTGGGGGAATCTAGGAATCTGGTGCAGCTGTGCATGGTAGCCAATCAGCCCCTAACTTCAGCTCATTCACTTAAGCGTTGGTAATAAAACCTGGAAGCTGGTTGGTTACTCTGCAGAGCTGCACCAGATTCTGCACTATACAGTTTTAGTAATAACCCCCTTTGCTTATAAATTTCCAATACACCTTTAACACTCAAGAATGCTCAAAATCAGGACTTTTTTGCAACATGGAAGATATTGCTTTTTGCACCTTTAAGGGCTAATCACTAAAAGAAAAAAAAAAAGGATTCATAGACTAGACTTCTTATCAATGTTTCAGCAAAAGAAGTGTAAATAATGACTTCTGTAATCCAGCTTGGAAGATGAATTCATTTTTGCATCTTTAAAGGCTAAGCAGTACATATCACCAAAAAAGCCAAAAAAAACATATTCTTAGACTATGGGGGCGTTTCAGTGTTTCAACAAAGAAAGCTGAAATGCTCTTTAATGCAACTTGGAAAATCAATACTTTTTGACATCTTTAAGGTCTAATCAGCACATACCACTGAAGAAAAGCCATAAACAGTATCCATAGACTATGGGGGTCTTTCAGTTTTTCAGGAAAGAAACAATAATGACTTCTTCAGTGCAACTTGAAAGATCAATACTTTTTTGCACATATAAAGGCTAACCAGTAGCTATCACTTAAAAAAAAAATCAGAAAAGTATTCATAGACTATGGGGTCTACCAATGTTTGTAGGGAAGATCGACAAAACATTCACCCAAGATGCACCCATTATCTATGGACACTTTGAATCTCCTAAAGACACTGTTAACATGATTGGAAAATGATGACTTGCAATGCAAAATTGGGAAAAAATGGATAATAAAAAAAATTAAAAAACTTTTTTTTTTTCTTTAAAGGCTAATCAATACACACAAGTATTCATAGACTATGAGGAGGGGGTGTCAATGTATCAATGTTCTCAGGAACAGCAAGATGCACCCATTGTTCTAATATGTGATAAAAGTGAATCTTGGGTGAAAACATTGATAAATAGACCTCGGTACAGGTTGAATCTGACATGCAGAAGCGATGTTTAGTACATAAGGACAGAATTGTAACTCGGAAACTATTTCAGGTATGGACTCGCGATCCTCAGATCTAGCAGACTGGCAGCATTGTCTCATCATCCAGTAAAACGGTGTAATAAGCGGTGTGTATAGTACACACATCCACGTGTATGGGAGGCAAGCAAGAACACACAAGCGCTGAATGGCATCAGAAGCCAAGCAAAGAGCCGACAATATGGAACTGATTACAAGTCACTAAAGTCAGGGGAAAGCCCAGACCAGGTACCGAGCCTGGCAGAGCAGAGCCCGCACTGTCTACTTACTGGGTCCATGTCTGAGCCGGAGTGCGCTGAGTCCAGAGCGGAGGGAGGGAGGGAGGGAGCGCAGAGCGGAATGAATGCCGACTATAGGCAGCCCGGCTATATATACCCGCCCGCCCCTCCAGCCTCCCCCCGACCTCCTCACTGCTCTCTCTGCATACAATCCATGCTGATTTCACTGACACAACACCTCCTGTTGTTTATCCTGCAGCTGGCTAAGACGGGGATAAACCTTTTTGTTGTGAGATAAGCATCTGTAAAAAACATCAG